AACGAAGAGCAAGACGTGGCTGCTGCCGCTCAACATCAAGTTGCTTCATCCAAAGAGCTAGAGAATACCGATTGGGATGAGATTATTCCAGAAACTGAAAGATTGAAGCTTGAAGAAGAAGAACGAAGAAAGGTTGGTGGTCATGACATCACAAGAATTTCAAAAAAAAAATTTTTTTGTAGTTGGCAGCAGACTTGGAGCTGGCTCCTCGACAACGAGTCAAAGTTGAAATTGAAGAAGCCGATGATGGCGATGCTTCCGCGTCAGATGTTGAAGCAGAAGGTGGTGGTCGTAAAAAGAGGAAAAAAGCATTTGGAGACTTTTCTGGTACGGAAGTCAAAAGATTTGTGCGATCGTTTAGGAAATTCGCAATGCCATTGGAAAGGTGGGTGCCCGATAGTCTCAGCTGGGAAAGAAGGTAAATTTTGATATTTGCAGATTAGAGGCGCTAGCCCAAGATGCTGAGCTGGAAGAGCATAGTGCTGAAGAACTGAGAAAACTTGCAGAAGCTTTGCTGGAGGCTTGTGAGAAAGCTGAAGCAGAGCATGAGACGAAGAAGAGTGAAGAAAAGGTTGCAGTTTTTTTCCTCTAACACGCATGAGATGATTCTCAATTGCCAACTTCAGGCTGACGGTGAAAAGACAAAAGACCGAGGGGCTTCGTTCAAATTTGCTGGCGTTGTTGACGTGAACGTTCGTCCCATAAGGAAACTGCAAGCAGAGCTAGAACCTCTGCACAAAGCTCTTTCCGATAAAGCAAGTGCCGCGGATTTTAGGCCTCCCCACAAAGCTCGTCCTCAAAAGGTTCTTCAATAGCAAATAGGATGACTTACATGCAAGTACTCATCGCATTTTTACAGGGCTGGGACGTTGAATGGAATTTTGTGGACGATACAGCTTTGTTACGAGGTGTTTACAAATACGGGATCGGCAGTTGGGAAGCGATCAAAATGGACCCGGAGCTCGGGCTGGCTGATAAAATCTTTTTGAAAGATAAGGTACGAATAAATTTTCTGTATACACACTTTAGCAACAACAACGTTTTAGGTCCGAAAGCCTCAACCTCGTCACTTGCAGCAGCGGGTGGATTATTTACTCAAGTTGATGGACAAGTCCATAAATGGTAAGAAAACGCAAAGGGCCGCGCCTTTGGCAGGCAACCGTAAAAGAAAGGC